CATAAGTTCTAACTAACACAACTAACATCCAAAAAAGCTCCCTACATACATAAGTATATAGTACATGCCTACCTAAATCTTTACTTAGCTTGCCAATTTATGCACGCTATTACATAAAGTTAGTAACTAAAGATTTTTATATTATATCTTAATTAAGCTTACTAATGGAAGGTATAATTAATATAATTGCAGTATAATACTGTAGAATAATACGAGTATATATTAGAATGAACATAATAATTGTAGAATGTTCTTATATTCTGATAAAATAGTAAGCATGTGCAGTAAGCTTGAGCGTAATCTAGTGTAGTAGTAGTATTCAGTAGGGTGTTCCATGTCCTACAATTACTAAAAATATAAATATGAATAATAAATTACGTTATCTTGTTGATTTGTTTTTTAGACATAATAATTATTAGGAGGGACAAATATTTCATGCCATGCAACTTTGAGTGAAATATAAGCAAACTGAAAATCACAGAAAATTTAACGTGTCTTAGATTATTCATAACACTTGTTCTCAATAATATGTCAGCTGCATCCCATACACCTTAATTTTTTAGGGCCTCCACCACCATATATACAAGTATATAATTTATGAAGCAAGATATGAACTATCATATTTGAAGATTATGGATACTCAAGCTCCAACTAAACAAATCAACACAAAGCCAGGCCAATTGACCAATTGTGTTAATGATTGTAGGCGGATTTAGTAATGGGTTTGAGGTTTTGAGTGTCACGTAGGTATCATACTAACTTTAAAATATAATACGAGATATGTATTAAATTGATAATCACGGAGTCGTTAGATTCCCAGACCATTATATATATATATATATATATATATATATATATATATATATATATATATATATATATATATATATATATCTTAGGAGCCAATGTCATGATATTTTCCTTTATCTTTGGCTTCGTGTATATATATGCATTACTTTTAATTTGTTTACCTAGAGGGTATCCATTTATTTAAGGCTATCATTATGAGTAGGTCGGGCCAAATTTTAGTGAGCGCCTAAGCGGCCTATAATTGAAATCAATTAATAATATGTAATACGAAGTATCTACATATGTTGAATACAGTATAGGTTACAATTTGGTCGATTTTTTAGTTTAAAAATTAATGGATTATACAAAATACAGTGTATGTCTTTTTTTTAATTATTAGGAAAAAAAAAAAAAAAAGGTCATCTAAACAATCAATTCATAAAGTTCGTTCACAATGGAGTGTCTTCAATAATAAATTTGTAAGGATTTTGTGATAAAGACGCAAAATTAATCAAATACATAGTTGTCACATCGAATGAATGATAAGTCTTATTCAAACTAAGCAATTCATATCTAATTAATAATACTCGAGTCTAAGTAAAATGATTAGCCATAAAAATAGGAAAAAAGAGTTTTATAGTCTCATGATATTTGTGATAATCTCCACAAATATAGGGAAAGATGAAGGAGTTAAAATTACTAATAACAATTCAAATTGACTTTTGACTAATGACAAATACGAGTATAAATATTGAATTAATATAATTCGGCTAGTATTAGACCGACAATTTCATAAAAGCCTAAAAATATACAACTATGGTCAAACAAAATCAACTTTATGTTACACACTAATCACATTAACTTATACCCAAAATTACAAATACTACATGATATATATGTAGTTATGGAGCAGCTAATTTGATACTATTGCTAGCACATCTTTTGCCTTTTTGAGCTAAGCAATTCAGCAATTCACTCCTTAATTTGTCATTATATGATATTAATTATTGGCTAACCAATGAGAACTTAAATTCTTCACTCATTAGCACAAAATGGCGGACAATAAGATTACTTTAACGTGAAATTAGGTAGTTATTGTATTAGTTATGCTAAACAAACATCTTAAATTGTTAATTAGTATAGTATATAGAATTATAGACAAGTAGTAGTATTTAATCAAATAATGCATTCCATCTATACATATAAACTTTACAGATTATTATGTTTAAACTTTAATCAAATTATGTATCCAAATAATGAGCCATTTAGCCCCCCAATTATGCTAGCTTACAAGTCAATATATATTAGCCTTTACTAACCACTATAGTACATATACATCTCTAAAATTGCATGGTATATATCCTCATTACTTGAAGTCTTAAATAGTTAAATGTTTGCATCTAATTTTGAGATTAATTTTGTCCGTTAATCTTCAATATACATAGTAATATTATCAAAGATTATTTGAGACTAATTAGAACTTTAGAAGTTATAAGCTTATAGGAGTAACATCGAAATGTGACGCCTACAATTATTCTGAATCGAAGATTATACAATCAATTTTATTTTTTTTATATTTAATTGACACAAATGAAATTTGATGATGAAAAAAATTTAAATGTTTGGAATTTAATTTATCATATACATCACACCAATGTAATATTCAGGTTTGATGTCTTACATTCTTTGCTCCAATCATTGACATTGATACGGTTGACTTTTGTGTGAATTATACAATAAGTTTGACCATATTTTTTTACAAATGTATAAATCATAAATGTTTTCATGTAAAATACTGTTCAATCAATATTAATATAAAGCACATCATAATATTATTTTTTATATATAATTTTTACAATATACTCTCTCCGTTTCACATTAAACTTCTTGTTTTCCTATTTTAGAGACCTAAAATGTTGTTCCTCTTTCTATTTTTAGATAATGTGTAAAGACCATTATACCCTCATTTTTTTTAACTCTATTTATTAAACTTTTTAAATTATCCTTGAATTTTCCACTTGTCTCGTACTTTTTTCCACCTTTTCTCTCTAACCTTTGTCTTTAATTGTATTTTTCACTTTTTTAAATGTATTTCATCCATTTTCTCCTCCCATTTCTAAAATACCGTGAAAAAACGTAAACAGATTCTATAAACTGGGATGAAGGGAGTATATACTTTTATATACTTCGTATTATTAATGGTTAGACTAGCTCATTGATCATTGTGATCAAGTCAAGTCATATCAATTATTCCGAAGTGGAGAGATTATATACTTCGTATTATTAATGGTTAAACCAGTGCATTAATTATTGTGATCAAGTTAAATCATATCAATTATTCCAAAGTGGAGAGATTATATACTTTACTTAACTAATCATCAGTATTGATCAAAACTTTAAATTTACTTACAGACTTTTATCCAATCAAAACTTATTTACAAGTGTTTTTGTCATGCTACTTATAACTTTTGATAGTTAAATAAGGGTACGATGGGTTCTCTTCACATCATTGAATATATCTAAACTAAATTTAATAGACTTGATTAACTCTACTTTTGACTTTTCTTTTCACTATATATTGGACCCAATGATTCCACTTGTTAGGAGTGTGTTCTATTCACCTGATTTTCACTAATCTGAACTTACTTGAACTTATATGAACTTATTAGACCTTAAAACTTATTTTAGTTGTAATTTGTACTTGGGTAATCCTTATCAGAACTTATTAAACCTGAATTGAACTTATTACACCTGAAATAAATGAAAATAAGGTGAACAAAAGAGGCCCTAATTCATAAACTTTTTTTTTTTAAGTGAACTAAACACACTTTAAATTTACTTATCAAAACTAATGTTAATGAAAATAATTCATGTAATAAGTTGGGGATATTAGGACCTAAACTAATATCTAACCATATTGCTAACTAGCTTTACTAAACCACCTACATCTATCTCTCAATCTAGGGGCTTTTCTATGAACTAAACAACAAAAAGAAACTATACTTTAAACAGATTTATGTGTATAAGTATAAGAGTTTAAACAATTAGAGTTTTTGATACGAAGTACGGAGTATAATTCAAAAATAAAATTTAACTAAAAAAAATAAAAAATTGGCAAGTTGGGGAGTTCGGAGGGTCAAATAAACGGCCTTAAAAGCGGAAATTACGCCTACTCGTGTGGGTTGGAGCGGCAAAAAGAATGCCACATCGGCATCCCACACTCTCTCTACACACTCCTTTTTCTATTGTTCTTTCACTTTTTTTTTTTCTTTTTTCTTTTGTACAATTTTCTATCTTTATTTATTTTCCAAAAAAAAAAAAATTTAAACAATTAATATAATAAAAAGTTAGTAAAATCTTGAATCCACGTGCTAACACTATTACAACGACACAAGAGGGACAGAATCTCAGTAAATAAATAAAATAAAATAAATAAATACACATCCAACCTCCAAATTTTTTAATTGACTTTTTAAAATAACATTTATAATACTCGCCAAAATTAATTTCACCTTCTTCATCTGCACCTACTACAAATATTACTATAACAGTTAGAGTAATAATAAGTTGGGCCCATATTATTTATACGTAGTACTTGAAATTTTCCTACCTAAATATCTAATTATACAATGTACCAATATTGTACCATATATTTATATTCGTGACTTAGAAGTGGAATTATTTTCATTCTATAGTCAATTCCTTACCTCACTTGTAAGATCCTTTAGTATCTTAGCTGCCAATCCCACGTCCTTCTCTTATTCTAACCTTTTACAATTTTTTATTTTTATAGTTTGAAAATATTTAGTTTACCGAATAAAATACTTCCGCTAAATTATACTCACTCTATGTTGTGATTATAATATACTCCATAGTATTATAATACGAGCTCACAAAAATTTTGCAAGTACATATAGAGTATGACTCAATTGACCTCAGTCACCTCACTCAAGTGTATAGCGATCAACAAACACTACATAGACACGAGTAGAGTAATGTTAACATCGATCTACACTCCGTAGTTATAATGACGGGTGAAAATAAAACAATGGTCAATGACAACAGGTTCATTTGAACAATCTTTTTACACCTTGATTTTTAATTTTAAGGAAATAAATTACAGTTTTTTTTAAGGAAATAAATCAGAGTTAAAGGAATAAAACTATATGGTAGAAAATCAAGCAGAACACAGCTAGGAAAATAGTTAAAAGTAGGAAACAAATTGTAATCTGTATTTCCATTTTTCTTCAACCAAATTGAATTTACTGTATACAACTCATCATCACTTGACAAAATTAAAGGCCTAAATAATTACTCTCATATAATTAATTTTATTAATTCCTCAAAAATTCTCCGCTATATTTCTAACAGAGAATAATATTAGTACTACTAACATAAAAATTAAACAAAAAATCTAATTAATACTCGCCGCCGGTACAAAACTTGCCGATCAACAATCGGCCTGAAAAAGATGACTCTCTCCCATTTTCTTTTTTTTTTCCAGTCAGATTACAAGGCTACAAGAGGATCCGCTGCAAAAATCTCATTGATATCTTGAAAATAATCATCCACTTGTAATAAGTTAGACGATGAATAACTGTTGTTGTTATTGTTATTCATCGTACTAAAATCGAAATCATCCATAAATGAATCAACGAAGACGTCCCCGAAATCGAACTGGTTATGGAACTGATTATCACAATCATCTCCGATAGTAAATAGATTATCCAACGGTTTGGAATCTTCGAAAATCATGGGTTCCGGTGACTCAAAGTTGAAGAAATCATTCAGATACGGCGTATCTAAGAAATCGCCGATATTTGATGATGATTCTCCTTGACATTCCTCCAAGGGACAGCTACTACTGCTGTTGCTGATACTGTTACTGTTACTCATCAAGCTGTTGCTTGGTTCTTGAACCGGACAAAACAACAATTCATCCTCATGTTTGATGATGTCCGGTTTGAACCGGGAGAGTTCTTCACCGGTCGAACCGCCGCGGAAGTGGAGGACAGAAGTTGGTGAGCAGAGAATGTTATGAGAAGCAGACTCATCACCAGACTCATACCCGCCGGAAGTCGACGGCGCGTGAGTCTCGACCACCACCGGAGCCGGTGGTTCACGCGGTGGCGGAGTTGCAAAATTGGTCAGCGCATCAGGACCACGAAGCTTAATCGCAGCGTTATCGTAAACCATTGCAGCCTCCTCCGCGGTGTCATAGGTTCCCAACCAAAGCCGAACTCGCTTCGCCGGGTCTCGAATCTCCGCAGCCCATTTTCCCCAAGGCCGTTGACGGACACCTCGAAACTTCCTAACGCCACCGGAAGTCACCAACGAGCCACCGGGTTGGCCGGTTGCCACGGCCGTGTTTGCTGATGACTTTCTCCTGGACCCGGCCTTCTTACAAAGAGGGGCGACAATAGGTGGCGTTGTTGTTGCTACCGCTGCATTATTCAAACTCGTGGTTTGCTCGATCACTATCTCATTCGTGTACCGCCTTACGCGGTGACGACCGAATAAGTCCGACTCCTCGTCGCTTGATGAGTCGGTTGCGTCGTTGTCTACAACCGATACACGGACCACTCTAGGTGGTGGTTTCGGTATCGATTTCTTTGATACTTTGATTAGGTTCTGCTTCTTCGTCACGCTGCGATGCTCGGTGTATTTCACCGGGCATAGCAAGTGAGAATAATCCATCTTCTTTAAGGGTGGATTGGTTCAAACAATATCAATTATTTCTGTTCTTCGCATTAAGAAGAACAAATTGTCAACAAAGGCGAAAGTTGGTGGAAAAAATTGGGGAAAATTACAGTGAGAAAGGAAGATTCAATGTAAGGAGAAAAATAAGTAAGGGGAAAGTTCAATTTTTTTTTGTGAAAAATGTATTGTGAAGAGAGGAGAGAGAAAGTAGGGAGTGTGAAGAGGAGCAATAAAAGGAGGAGGTAAACAAGTGACTCTTGAGTTGGGTTTTATATAGGATACCATCAGCCGAAATTGGAAAAACGGTAAATTTAAATTAAATTAAAAAATAATTATTGTAATTTTTATGGGTTTGTATAATTGGGTCAGAGAGGGGGGCAAAAATATCTCTAATTAAAGAAATTACTTGAGAAAAGGGTAGAGTGAGGGGGCGGTGATAGGGTGACAGTGCGGTGAGGGAGGTGTTTGTCACAGTGAAGTGGGAGAACAATACGAACCGCCGCATAGGGTTAATGAATGGACGCGATTTAAACACGTGGAAGATGGTCCAAAGAGAGAGAAATGATGTTTGTGATCCAATGGAGTAAGCTCCAACTGGGTAGTGTGGAGGTTGATAGTTACAGCTGAGTCAGCAAAACATGAGTTTTTTTGTTTTCCTTTTTTTTGTTTTGTTTTTAATTTCTAAAAAAAACATTGATTTATGTGTTTCTGCCTATCACGTGAGACCCAAGATGCCCAGCCTTCTTCGTTTTAACTTGTCGGTCAAAAATATTTTCATCACTCAACACTCATGCTCCATCACTTTTCCTCACTTACTATCAAAAAAATCTCACATTGTTGAACTTAAAAGGGTAAATTACTTTTTCAAGATTTTTTTTTGTTTTCAAATTTTTATTAATTAAGGATTAAGAAAGGAAAATGAGAGGTTAAAATATGGTCAACATTTGACTTGATGACATTGCTTTTAATTATTGGAGTGTCATGCAGTTATTGATTTAACATTACAGACTGGCTCTAAGACATTATTGAATCAAGTACAGTCAATCAATACCATTTAAATAACAATTAATTATATTTGGTAACGTATCAGGCTTTCTGAAGATTTACAAAAAATCATGATCGTGTTTCCACATATATAAAATTAAACATGTTTTATGTTGTGAATTCAAAAGACTATTGAATAATATGACAAATTTATTTACTACTCTATATAGTGCAAAAACTCAAAATTAGTTTTATTGCAACATTATAGGAACTCTAGGAGTCTAATCACATTTTTAAAAGTTAACCCTTTTTTAACATCACAAAGTCATTAAATGTTTTACTTTGTACATAAGAAAAAGCTTACTAGAATGTTTCATCCCTTCCTTTTAGTGTCAATATCCTTAATTTTCAATTAGTCAAATTTATAGAACCTAGATATTGTTAATTCGTTATTATATGTATTGACACGTGTAATTATAAATATATCTCATATAACTATTTTTTCTTATGTATATAAATCACAAAAATACGTAGAGGATGCGATACTTGAAAATTAAAATTGGTCAAGTAAAAAGAACCATTAAAGTATGTAAACACACCAATTCTTGATCATAATTCGTAAAAAAAAAAAAAAAAAAAAAAAATCCGAAAAAAGTAACGAATTCTTTTTTGTTTACCATATCCTGCCTTACACTAAAATTAAATTATTTTTGTTGAACTTAAGTTATTTTTATAGATTATTTATTAAATTTGGTTTAATAAAATTACAAGTACTCCATAATTTAACCATCTATAATATTATTTATTTATTATTATTTTTTTTTAATAATTTTTTTTTCTTTTGAAATTATTTAAGTACTTGTATTTTTATACGAGTAAGTAAGTACAAATTCTTAAACTTGTAGCGCAAAATCTGCTCATAAAAATATGATCTTCGTATCAAAAAAATAACAAACATTTAAATTGACCAATCAAACGAAAATAAAATAACAAATAAATAAGTAAAAATTAAACCAGTGCCTTTTTGGCTGGCGAACCGTTAACAAGGGCAACAAATAAAAATGATAAATTAAAAAAAAATAAAAAAATAAAAAAATTACTCGTACTATTTAAAGCTAGAAGTAACGTGGCGGGCAACCTAGAATTTACCGCCATTTATAATTCGGTTAAAATGTACGGCCTTTCAGCATTTCTTGTTTCCCACTACAACGTATCACCTTCATGCGTGAACCCCACGCTCTTTGACCAACGGTTGTAAATTTGTAATAGTTCCAATTGTTATGAATAGCGCGTGAGGAAGCAATTTTGAACATGGGACCCATTCATTTCAATTTTAACAATAGCAGTAGTAAATTCAAGAGGCCAGGACGAGGCAAGTGGAAGTTGATGAAAATGTGTGTGTTGTGTGTGAGTGTCTCATGTGTATGGACATGGGGTGGTGTTCTGAACGAGATACCTACAATTTTTGGACCAAATGATAAGTGTTTCCAAACATCAATGTTCTATTTTTTTTTTTCTTGCGTTTGTATGTGTTTTTTAATGGTTAGTACTACAAATGATGATGATCAAAATTTTCCATATTACTTGGGGCTCAAGGCTTTATGTACAGTATTCATGCATGTCTTGAAGTTGGAGAGTACAATAGTATTTCTTATGCATATATTATATACATTGTCCTTCATAAAATTTCTAAAATTGTTTTTTAGACTTGTTTGGAATGAAAATATAGTGAAATTAGCATATATGGGATGGATTAAGGGGATCACTTTAAAGTATATGCTGATTAGAGGTAGGAGTGTTGCTACTTCTAATTGACTACTTACAGTTGTGTAAAAATGTGAATCACCGTACCTAAGAAAATACGAATTTGTTTTTTGATCCAACACTAGTCTATTTTTGCTTAAAAAGGGCATGAAGATGAGTCATATATTGTGTCTCAACCGCATTTTTAATAATTAGCGAGGTACGACATGTGAATCATGTGTTAGCCTTAGGATTGTGCGCAAGTCTGACACCCGATGACTTGATCGGACTTGAACCAATTGGAGATGACGGCTGAATGAACAATTTTGATTAAAATTGCAACTCATTTATCATGTTAAGTCCAATTTTAGTTGAGCTGAATTTAGGCCAAATTTATGTACATCTAAAAATAAAAGATACGAGTAAAAGAAAAAAAAAACAATTAGTCAATATATTTCATATCATAATTTACTCGTACTTTATTTTTCCGTGTTACCAAACCAAGCATAATTTAATTACCAACCTCTTAAAAGTCGACAAATATTCAACTTAACATGATAATCAACGGAAAAGTATGAATATCAGTGCAATTTTCTATATCCTTAGTATTTGACCACTTGGATTTACCACAAAAAAATTGAAAGAATAGTTGTACAAAACATACAAAAAGTTGGAGTGATATAGAAGATAAATTAAAAAAAAACAAAAAAACAAAAAAAACACCAGAGATTTTGTCTAACATTTCTTCTTCACGTACTGGGTACACCAGCTGTGGGTCTTAGCAGTATCTTGATTATTAAGCTATTTTTGGATTTCCTTAATATTATGCAAACATTCTTTCAACCAGGATCTTTTATATCTTTCTTAAACTCAATCAAAACAGTCAAATTACACAATTTAGTATTTTTGTACGTTTCTTATAATCCACGGCTCCTCTCACGTGATATTCAATTCTAATTATTTTTATATCTAAATTTATTTTTCCTACTATATATAATTATAACATAAATTATTATTATATGATTTTAATTAATTTGTTTGACATTGAATATATAATTAATTTACGCTTTATTTTGTTGATTAATTATATTAATTGACCATTTGAAACAAAGTTAAGACAGTAATTGAACAGACCTTTGTATAAAACAGGACAAAGTAAAACGTTTGACACTTAATTTGCAGAAAGAGGCTGCTTTTTAAGTAATGATTCCAAGAGACTCTAAAAATATAATTGATTTTCTTAAAAAGACCTCTTTTAATTCATATTACCTGCATAAAGTTTAATTTAAGAGTATGTAGAATAAAGGGTTTTCATTAGATTTATGTTGTAAACATCAATCAATTCATTAAAATCTAGCTTTAATAAGAAGACGAAAGTTAAAGTTGAATTGATCCATGTATCTAAACATATTTTTTGAACTCCATATGAATTAATCATAAAAATTCTATAATCAGTAATTAATCACCCATTAACGTTGTGTAGTTGTCAATGCAACTTAATTAGTAAGAATACATGATTAGAGAATGTAAGCTTGCATTTTATCATTTCTAAAATTCTATGTATTTTTATTTTTTGAAAATAAAAGAAATAGAAAACAAATGTAAACAAAATATGACCTCAAGTCTAGCAAACAATATTGTAACCAATAAAGTTAGTAAACATTCATTATATCATACGGAGTATCATATTAGTGTATAAGGGACAATATCGCTTTATGAATAATCCATACAATCCTAATAGGACTAAGAATTGATAAAATAAACTATGTAGTATTTAAACTACTTTTGCATTATTAAACTATACGAAGTATTTCTTTTATGGAATACCATGAATCTTGAGATTTGATTAACGATTCCATCCCCTCCTTTAAACTAATTTTGCATTGCTATGAGAAAGAGAATCAATAAAGAAGAATTAAAATAAAAATAAAAAAATAGTAATAAGAAAGAAGAGAAGGTACTATTCACATATATATATACAAACTAATTAAGGGCCACGCCAACTATATATTAGTCTCACGCATGCACGTAAACACATACGAAGAATGAAAAAAGCAAAAGGGGTGGGGAAGAAGAGGGTTCAAAAGAATTTATGACCAGGGATTTATCTATTAAAGTATGAGCCCTAAATCATTATGCATGGTGTGCTGTGGTACCTAATTTTTCCACACGGACTATTTTGCCTCTCCATGCTTATCACGTACTCCTTTCGTTCTTTATTGGTTGTACTGTTCACCTTTTGTTTAAATTGTTGTTAAAATTATTCACTTGGTAATTTTTTCTATTTCAGTTCTATCATCTCTTATTTTCTTACCTCATTTATTGAACTCCCTGAATTTTACACACTTTCACAATATTACTACAATACTACCACATTATTATGTGATCTCTCTTATTTAAAAACAAAAAATGATACAATTTCACTTTTTTTTTCTCCTCATTTCTTTTGAATGTTTACTTGTGTACAATGATTGGAAATAAAAGAACATTATAGAAAAAGTTATATGTATTCGATACATATATGTAAGACATAATATCGAGGAATATATATATACATTTTTTTTGAAGCTAATGCTAATGTAGTAATTATATATATATATATATATATATATATATATATATATATATATATATATATATATATATATATATATATATTTTAATACGGAGTATGGAGTACAACATATGTAGAAAAGTAGAAAAATACGAAGTATAGAAAATCCAAGGAAGATAGAGGTTTTCCCTTGCCTAAAACGTTCGACCTAATTAAAAAATATTATACCTGTAATATTAAACATAAAATAAAATGGGTACAGCTAGACGCCTAGATCCTATGTGTGTTTGATGTGGAGATAAGCGAACGTATCTAAAATGAAATGTATGTATCCAATAACAAAGACAAAAAAGGTTTAGCTCCCTTGAACACTGGGCCCCACTTTGAGCCAAGTGAACCTCTAATATGACAAACTTTGATTTCATACTCTTGCGTTTTGCACCGTAACATCCACCAAATCTTGGACTTTGGAACCTAACTACTTAATTGCATCAAGATCTTAGGTTCGAATTCCTTCAAAGCACCTTCTTATGAAGTCATTGACGTATTAAATACTAGGTGTTGAAATCCATTCTAAACATACCGTGAGTGTCCCACATTGGAAAAGGAAAAGAGATTGTTTCACTTTATAAGGTAGAGGAGTTACTCCTATTATCACTAATTGGTTTTAGTATGGATTCTTCGTAAGCCTTATTTGTGGACCAAACTAACCTCCTTGT